GAGGAGGAAGAGGAAGAGGAGGAGGAGGAGTGGGGGAGCAGCGAGAGGAAGCGAGTAGGAGCAACCAATTCTGGAGGCCTCGGCTCTTGCCGGAAATGGGAGGGAAAGGGCGGGGATCAATTTTTTCCGAAAATCAATGGATGTGGCCTCTCCAGGCCTTCTTGAGAGTCCTTGTGGGGCTCTTTTGACCCGTCTGAGGGCCCCCTTTGGCCGTCCTCAGGCGTTCTTGGGCTCCCATCTGTAAAAGCCGCAAACGGGGCATGATATTTGCACCCAGACCCTCCCCTGGACCCCCCCGGGACCCCCCCCCGGCGGGGATGGGATCAAAGGGAAGGGGCTTCCCTTCGATTCAACGACAACGTTAATTTCGCCTTGGTTGGGTTGCTTCATTTCGCTTTGGCTGGCGCGCTTGAGGACGAGGGCCCAGGGAAAGACGGGGGGAGCGGCGACTGACCCAGGAAAGAAGACGACGAGTACGTACGATGACAACAACCACGACGAACAACGCATTCCACACGCCGACAGGGTCGGCGGATTTTGTTCTCTCCTTATCTCTTGCCGCCTGTGTGAATGCATATGCATTCTGCCTGAGCAGTGTAAAAACAAGTTTCACCTGCAGACCTTGTGTGTTCCGGCCTACTCGCATCGGTGGCCCGATCTTGCGCTTGAGGCTCACTACGTATGTGGTGCGTTTTTGACGCTCGGGCGCACTTCTCGGTCGAGCGCGTCCCGCGATGACGGGTAAATTAGCAATGTGCGCTAGTCGACAACCTTCCATTTCGGCGTGACAGCCGTCTTGCGTTTTGACGTGCTCGTGTCATTCCCCTGCTAATTTTCGACGGCATGGCCTTCAAGTCATGCCTTAAGGTCACACCGACAAGCGCGCAGCATACTGCAGACTTGCGCCCTTCAGGCTCCGCAAAAAAAGGTGGGCACGTCGCAAGTGCACGTTGGCTGTCCCCCAATCTTCTCGATCTGTTTGAACTTACTCTGCCCCTTCTGCATCACGCAGAAGGGGACAATGCCAGGAGGTCCCCCGCGACTCGGAGGGCGGTGCCGGGCATCCTCTTCGAGGGGCCCGCCCCTGTTTTTTCGAGGGGCGGGAAGGCTCAGGGGGCCTCCGGTCCGAGAAGCCGTTTTGTTTTTTCCGAAACACCGAGGGCCTCTCGGAAGGCGAGAGGGCGGCTGAGGAGCCCCGCGCGAGGAGCAGGAGCAGGAGGAGGAGGAGGAGGAGGAGGAGGCGGAGGAGGAGGAGGAGTAGGAGGAGGAGGAGGAGGAGGCAGGAGGAGGAGGAGGAGGAGGAGGAGGAGGAGGAGGAGGAGGACGGGAGGAGGAGGAGGCAGAGGAGCAGGAGCAGGAGGAGGCGGAGGAGGAGGAGGCAGAGGAGCAGGAGCAGGAGGAGGAGGAGGAGGAGGAGGAGGAGGAGGAGGAGGAGGAGGAGGAGGAGGGCTGCCTTCTGAGGAGGCCTGCCCCCCTGCGCCGCCGCGTGTGTCTCTCGGAGCACGGCTCGGGGTTCTGGCGGCGGTGCGGGGGGAGCGGGGCAGCCCCGGAGCGCTCTCGGCGAAGCGCGGCTGCTGGAGGGCACCCCGAGGCTACCGCCGAGAGTCAGTATCTTTTCCCCTATCCCGATCCCCACCATCTTACCACCCCAGTTAGGGATATGCCTTGGGTTTGTGTGGGGGTCAGAGAACGGGGTCATCCTGGGCCCGCGGTGCAACGGAAATCTTGACCAGACATTTCGCGCACCAAGAGCACGTTGACGCGAAAATGGGCGAACCAAGAGCCACGGCGACGAGCGACTGAGACGGCCCTCCCGACGCCCCTGCGGGCTCCCCTACAGACCTGACCCCCCAGGCATTCCCAAGATATGCCCCTCGAAGCCGGAAGGGAACAGCCTATGTCTTGAACAGGGCCGAGGGTCAGAGAGCGCATTCCTCTGCAGGACCACCAACAAGGGACGTGGGGGTGGTCAAACGCCCCGCCGATTAAGCCGACGAAGATGTGCAAAGTCCAACCATTCGCTTATGTCCAAAGTTTTGGCTTGACGCCATGTGTGGTGCATCAATTTCAGCTTGACCGAACAGGTTGATTGCGCCCCTTGACGTCCGTTGGGGGTTTTCTGCAGACCTGACCCCCCGCCCTACTCAACCTATATCCCCATCTCGGCACTATGGAGCGATTCTCGCGCGCCGAGCGCCGGGCGGGCGCCGGACACCGGACACCGGCCACTGGCCACCGGACACCAGACACCGGACACCAGACACCGGACACCTGGCACCAGACACTGGACACCGGACACCGGACACCGGACACCAGACACCGGACACCAGACACCGGACACAGGCCACCGGACACCGGACACCGGACACCGGACACCGGACACCGGACACCGGACTCCGGACATTGGACACCAGACATTGGACACCGGACACAAGACACTGGACATTGGGCACCGGACACCGGACACCGGACACCGGACACCAGACACCAGACACTGGACATTTGATTCCGGACACCAGACACTGGACACCAGACATCGGACACCGCACACCGGACGCCCGACACGCGACACCTGCGCCGGACATCGGACAGCAGATGCCGGACACCACACCGGACATCGGTCGCTGGACACCAGTTTGGGAGGAATTCGCTTCTAGGAGGAACTTTGTTTTTTTGTCCCTTCCCTCTCTGCTCATCCTTCTTCTTTCGCCCCCCCTCCTGGCTGACCGATATTGTCCCGCTTGCGTTTTCCTTGGTTTCTGCGGGCCGTTTCGCGCAGGGCGGGTTCATTTGTAAGAGGAGTTTTGGTTTTCTCATGATTTTCTGTTTCTCGCATCGTTTTTGGCATTGGGCCGGATTGGCCCTCGGTATGCTCGCCCTCAGCATGCATTTTTTTGTCAAGGGCTTGCTTGCTTCTAGGAAGAACCCTGGCTTGCACCTCGTTCCCCTCCTCTCCTATTTCCTCGTTCGCCCATTCCGCCTAACCTTTTTCCTTTTGCTGTTTTTCCGGAGCGTCCGTGGTCTTTCGCATGGGGCTGGTTTTGTTTCTAGGAGGAACCTTGCGTCCCTATTGAATTGTTTTTGTTCGTTCGTTCCTCGCATTGGGTCTTCCCCCAAAGGCTCTGATTTTCTTCCACATGGGCGGCTCCCAGATGTGGTCGCTCCTGTGTGCAATATGCCAAGGGTTGAATTGTTCCGGGCATGCAGGTTTAGCAAAAGTGCGGAACCTTTGGTTTTCTTCCCCTTTCCCTCTTCTCCTCCTTCCTCCTTCGCCCATCCCGGCGAACGAACTCTTTTCTTATGTCTGCGGTTTTGGTGTCCGTTTGTTCATCGTATTTCGCGTGGGCTGGTTTGTTTCTGGAAGGAGCTATGTTTCTTGCATGATTTCTGTATGTTCCCGCTTCTCTCAAAGGCTTGCGCTTTCTGCCACATGGGGCGGTCCCTGGGTATGCTCGCCCCCTGCGCGATGTTTCGCCAACGGCTGGCGGACTCATGAGGAACCCTGGTTCGCCCACGTTCCTGGCATTGGGACCTCCCAAAAAAGGCTCTGTCTTTCTCCGACGTGGGGCGGTTCCTGGATATGCTCGTTCCGGCACGCAAATCTGCCAAAGGTTCGCTCGTTTCTAGGCGGAACACGGGCTTGTCATTCCCTTCTCCTCTTCTCTTCTTTTTTTTCATTCGCGCATCCCGGCTAACTGACCTTTCTTTCCGTTGGCGCGTTGCCTTGGTTTGTTCATGCAGTTTTGCGTAGGGTTTGTTTGTTTGTAGGAGGAGCCTTGGTTGTATACTGCATTTCCTTTTGTTCCCTCGCTCTTGGCATTGGGGTTTCTTCCAAAGGGCCAGGTCCGGGGCATGCTCGCCCCCTGCATGCTACATTTGGTCTGTGTCTTAGAGTAATTAACTTTGTCTTTCCCTCCCCTTCCCCTCTTCACCTCCTTCCTCGTCCGCCCATCCCGGCTAACTAACATTTTTCTGTTTGCGTTTTCGGCATTTGTTTGTTCATGCTGTTTAACATAGGGCCGGCTTGTTTCTAGGAGGAACCCTGGTTCCTTCATGATTTGTCGTACACCCTAGGCGATGCTTAAGAAAACGTAAGGTTTCGGCCAGAGTCTTGATTATTCTTATTGTTTCAACGGATAACCTAACTTTTTAGTAGACATTGGGTTTTTTTTACTCAAGTTCTGAGACTATGAATTTCTTAACCCATGATTTCTTAAGCATTTCGCAGGGTGTATGTGCCTCCTTTCCTGGTCTTGGGGCTTCTCCAAAAACCTTACGCTTTGTCCCACATGGGGAGGGTCCTGGGTGCGCTCGCCCCCCTGCATGATGATGATAGTGGTGGTGGTGATAATGACGAAGGGTATGGTGAAGGTGATTGCGACGGTGAAGGTGATGATGATGATGATGTTGAGGATGGTGGTGGTGATGGGGAGACAGCTAGCTATGGTGATGGTGGTGACGACGAGGATGATGACGGTAACGATGCCGATGGTGATGCTATTGCTGGTGATAGTGACTGTATGTGGCGGTTGTGACGGCAATGTTTGTTGCGATGATGGTGAGGAGCTGTCTCTCTTCTAGTTCCTCGACCTCTCGGCCGTCTTTTGCGTCCGCCACCAACAGAATCCTTTTGTTGGAGAGGAACGCTGTGGGGCCCTCCTGTCTCGCAACGTGCGCATCCGCACCGTCATCATCGTCATCATCTGCATCTTAAGCAGCATCGCCATGATTACCATTGTCATCGTCTTGGTCATCAGCATTATCATCATCATTCTCATCATCGCCGTCTGCAACATGATCCGCATTCTCAGCATCAGCATCGTCATCATCGTCTGCATCATCTGCTTTCCGCTGTTCGTCCGCATCACCCTCCTACCACCTACTATTATAGGATTTCTCCCATTCCTATCTCATCGCATTCTTGTTCTTGATCTTCGAGTTCGCTCTCATCCCATGCTCCTTCCGAACCGCTTTTCCCGATTCTTGTTGGAAGAAGAGGGGGAGGAGGTGCGGATGTCATTGTTTTCTTATTGTGATCCCATTGTAAAGCCAATCGTCAGAGTCATTGTAAGTGTGCCTGTTATACGCACATATGTTCAAATTTTCTTCTGCGGCCACGGTTCGCACCCGTCTTTGGTCATGGGCGCACCGGCACCATGCACTGGACACCAGACGTCGGACACCGGACACCCGACGGCCTCTGGACACCTGCCACCGGACACCGGACACCGGACACCAGACACCGAACACTGGACATTGGACATCGGACACCGGACACCGGACACCGGACACCGGACACTGGACACTGGACACCAGTGCACCGGCCACTGGACTACAATACAACACAGGGCATGTTAAGCAGGTTAGCTAAGTAGGTTAGCTAAGTCGGTTAGCTGACGATTCTGACATACTTAGCTAATCAGGCAAACTATGTTAAGCTACCTATGAGATCCGATTCCATAAGCTATCGTTAACTAAGATAATATGTGACCGAAGTGGTCGTGAAGCGTTGCTTCCGGTTAACATGACTTATAAGTGGTTGCCATCTAAGTCGCTTCATTATAACCAATTTATACCCTAGTTATAACCTGAGTACTAATCGGGCGAACCGAAAGCTAACCAGGGCGGCGATCGCAGTGGACAGCAGACACCGCGGACACCAGATACCGGACGCCGGACACCGGACACCGGACACCGGACAGCAGCAAGAATCGTCCATGCCTTCATCTCGGGGGTGAATCGGCCAGCGGGGCCCAGGCCACGCCAGGGGTGATAGAGATCGGTTAAACGATGCCCAGAGAACTGACGAAAGCGCCCGCAAACCTCCAGCCAGAGACTCCTCAATTTCCCCCCCTCGGCGCGCCACGTATCCAGAGATAGCCGCGCCTTGTTCGATGCTCGTTCTGGGGACCTTCCTTGGGGTCACCAAACGGATCTGCTGAACTCTAGTTCGACTCTAGTTCGACTCTAGTTCGACTCT